GGGCAAGATCTCGGTGTACAACCAGGAGATGAGGCGGAGGATCTGGGCGACGGTCCAGGAGTTCGACATGCAGGCGTCCTTCGACCACGGCCTGCCCACGCTGGTGAGCCAGCTGCACTACGACGTGCAACCGCCGAGGAATCTAGACGATGAGGACTTTGACGAGGACACGACCCAGCTGCCTCCGTCCAAGCACGGCAAGGAATACACGTACTCTTCGTACCAGAACCTAGCCCGCCAGAGCCTACCTCTGCGCATGGAGCTGAGCCGGCTTCTCTGCGGGCCGCCGGGGGAGATCGACTACGACCAAGTCATCCGCTACACAAACGACATCACGCACGAAATCGACTCTCTGCCCTCCTGGGAACACAACAACACCAACACGCATGGCGGCAAGCGGCCACTTCTCGCCTACACGCTGCTGCACATCCAGCTCCGCCAGTACATCATCCCCCTGCACCAACCCTTCCTCAAGCTGCGCAAGTCCAACGCCAAGTACCAGTACTCGGAAATCATCTACTACAACGCCGCGCGAGACATTGTCCTCTTGCACGACAAGCTCTACGAGCAAGGCATCCGGTGCCTCAACTTCCTCCGCGAGGACGCCCTCACGACGGCCGTCAACCTCTGCAGCGTCACCATGCTGCAGCCGCGCGGCTCGACCAACATGATCATGATCAACTCCCAGCACACCGTCAAGCTTCTCGAGAAGTGCCTCTCGATGAAGGAAGATAGGCTCCTCCGGTGCGGCAATACCGAACCCTGGGGCTACTCCATCATGTGCTCGGCGCTCGGCCTGCTCGAGGCGCATCTGGCTACAAAGACCACCGAGCAGGCCAAGGCCTCGTCTGCGGAGCGGTTCGTCAATCTGCACTACAAGCTGCTGGCGAACCAGGAGCCCCCGGTATCCAGCCAGCAGTCGGAGCTCTCCAGGATTCCCGGCTTGGAGGTTCCGGAGAGACCAAAGGTGAGCATTCCCGGCTTTTCCCCGGCGGCGTCGGCGTCGGCGGCGGCGGCGGCAGGTATCGAGCAGCTGCTGACTCACCTCTCAAAGTCGGTCACGCCCTTCTCCTTTCAGGGCTTTCCGTCGTCGCAGAACACCGTCGACGGGCTCCTCCCTCAGCCGCTGCCGTGGATGTCCGCATCCATCGACCCGCAGGTGAGTCTCCACAGCGACTTCTCCCCAGCACTCGTCGCTGACAGTGTGTTGGCAAAGGCGCAGTCGTTCAATCCCGACTTTAGTCTTGAAGCTTTGGGATTGAACTTGAACGAGTTGTGGGGAGAATCGTGGGACTTTAGCTGAGGCGGTGTCTTTTTCTAACCATGCCGGTTCGACGGCTGTTGATGTGATGAAAAAAAAACGGGGGAGGGGTGTTCCTGAGTTTGGAAGGATGAAAATCCGTCCCGGTTACGACGTTCAGAAAGCTTGTGATACCCATCTCAATTCCTCTATCGGCAGATATATGAATTCGTGCTGCATAATCGTATCGGTCCTGACTCGCGGAGGGGCTTCAGCCACGGCGGCATTCCGCACTCTGGCAGCGCCGTGACGATAAGGCAACAAACATTTAATATATTTCTTCGTTTAACCTTATCTATGCCCCCTTATGGCCGTCTCCACCTTCCTGTCATGATGCTTAGGGGCCGATATCCAAAGCAATTTAAACAACTTGTCCGCGCGAACACCCCCCCGAAAAGACCCATTGAAAAGGGGGCATTCGTCATCACCACGGCGTCAATTGGTACCGGGACCTGACTCGAGCACATTGCAATATTGACTCCCCGGCGCCTTGACCACATCTAACTTCCTCGGCATCTCTGCGGATGCCGGGGAGGGAGGGGTGCCCTCAATCGTTTCTCGGGTACCGCTCTAAATCACCTTTTGCGAATCTCGCAACCCCTGATGTCATATCTCGCAAGGCGTCGCAATGCTGGTTCCCTCCATCAAGCTCTTTTCGCATGTGTTTCTCGCCTCCAAGGTTTTCGGCACCGTATCGTCGAACCCGTGGAAACCGTTAACCATATAGCCGGGAGACGCAACAAGGCCGGATTGCACTCGCACGCAAATCACGGTCACAAAGCCTGGGCAGCGTCTGCGAGGGCCTACTACGTAGTAAGGCGTTTCCACAACTCGCAGCTTGAGGCGGGCGGGATGGGTTGGACAATCCCGATGTAATTCATCTTGGTCGACATGAGACGGGAATTGTCCGAATTCCCGATTGCCCCCCCCCCCACCCACCGCTTGGCCGGATCCATGTGGCACAACGAAACAACAAACGTGGACAGCTTTCCATTGTCAACGCCCAAGCTTCACCATGCTCGCTCCAAGCCCGTGACGCTTGCGAGCGGGGGAGCGGCCAGGGTCAGGGTCGCATGGCTTCGGACTGGCGGCGGACGATATGCCAGATGCAGGAAGCACGACCGGGGTCGGCTCGGCACCCGAACCTGTTGTCCTTTCAATATCCTAGACCCCCATGCTTCTCCCAGCGGTGCCCAGCTCCCAGCTCCCACCAACCGCCTTCTGTTCCTGGTCTGGTGCGTAACCACCAGATGACGACCTGATACAGCATGCAACTGCACGATGCGGGCGGGTATCCAGGAGGATCTCCTTCTAACTACTCTCGGCCAGCAGAGGGTGGGCGTTGGCGGTGCTGGCACCGGCAAAACGGCGCAGGGCACCAGGAGCCCGGCTCTGACTGGCCCAACTGCGTGACCACGTCGCGCCACAGGCGGAGTCGAGAGGCCAAACAGGGAGCTCCAGTAATCACAAGCGTAGCTCCGAGATGATGGCGTCACGGGGATATTGGTTTGCTAGGCTACCCGTTTGGACTAGACCGTGGTTGGCACCCTTCCTCTTCGGCCTCGTGTACGGCTCGTCTGCCGTATCGAGAGGAGAGGGCGAGGAATCCGACTATAAGACCAGGGCGACGCTGCCGAGTGCAAGAACAAGCCTGATCAGCCGTCCCTCAAGCTCATCTTTACCGCTCCGAGCCGAACCCATCACCAGAGACGATCTTCCGGTTCATCCAACAGACCGCACATCCACCAAGCCGCGCATCCTCCATCTCCGATACCCAGGTCCTGTTCTCTCCGTCCACAATGGCCCCTTCCCTCTTCCGCCTCGCCTCATGGCTCGTGGCGGCCGCCAGTGTCATGGCCGCCCCTGTTGAGCGCCGCGCCGTCATCGGCCACGACGCCGTCGTCGGCTTCCCGGAGACCGTCCCCGCGGGCATCGTCGGCACCCTGTACCTCAAGTACAAGCCCTACCTCAAGGTCGTGAACGGCTGCGTGCCCTTCCCCGCCGTCGACGCCGCCGGAAACACCGGGTGCGTTCCCCTTGGGCCTCTACTCGAGAACCACTCCCGCCCCTTTCACTCGCATGTTTTGACTAACACGACTCAGCGGCGGCCTCAAAACCAGCGGCTCCTCCAGCGGCGGCTGCAGCTCCAGCACCGGCCAGGTCTACGCCCGCGGCGCCTCCTACAACGGCCTCTACGCCATCATGTACTCGTACTACATGCCCAAGGACTCGCCCTCGACCGGCCTCGGCCACCGCCACGACTGGGAGAACGCCGTCGTCTGGCTGTCCGACATGTCCGAGTCCGCCACCGTCGTCGCCGTCGCCGCCTCGGCCCACGGCAAGTACAACGTCAAGACGTCCGGCGTCGCGGCCGACGCCACCCACCCGCTCCTCGGCTACGAGAGCATCTGGCCCCTCAACCACCAGATGATCTTCACCAGCACCCTCGGCGGCCAGCAGCCCCTCATCGCGTGGGAGTCGCTGACCGACGCCGCCCGCACCGCCCTCCAGAACACAGACTTTGGCAGCGCAAACGTGCCGATGAAGGACGGCAGCTTCACCAACAACCTCGCCGAAGCCGCGCCGTAGGTCAAAGGACTGGGGCAACCATGGGGGGATAAGAGGAATGGTGGATATTTATCACTTTTAATTGGGAGGCAGCCTGGTTGGCTTGCTTCGTGGCGATTTCATGCACATACGTTATACTCCGCGGGGGGGCGAGAGGCTTGATACTCTCTCATGATGACTCCGTAGTACATAAAAAGAATTCGTGTTCCGGTTGACGCGTCAGAAGTGCCAATATATACACATGATGAAAGTAGGGTGGGCCGTCGAGTGCGATCTGAGATGGACCTTGCAAATGATGCCAGTGACGGCGAGTCCCACTTAACTGGGCATCGCAGTTTGCATTTTTTGTTCAGTGGAGCCAGTCAAACCATCAAGTTGTCGCTCCGCCCGTTGAGGGTGGTCGAGTCGGACGTGTGTGGCCGCCAACCATCAAAGAGCATGAACGCTATCAGATATCATCGACCACACCAAGACGGACGCCAATGGCAGTAGTGCATGCGACAAGTTTGGAGGTCGCACAAGCAGGCCTCCTGTCGCCTGCCGAAGACGGCAACGAATCTCCGATGCAGGGGACCAGAAACCGCCAGGCCGCCGCGCACACCGCAATCAACCGGCAACGAGCTAGCCGCCGTTACTGCTGCTTGGGTGTATGTCGATCGTCCGCCTGCATCAAATTATCGGACGGGCTGTGATATTGTATGGGAAGGACGAAGTCAGACTTGCTTAATGGGCGTCTCCGCGGGCACGGCACGCGGGTTAGCAAGAGTCTCTGGCAACTCTCTTCCGGTCCGTGGGGAGCCTCTGGGGACGCGCGTACAGTGGAACCGGCTTTGGGGGTTCCATTGAGAGCTTTCTGCTCAGCAGATTCCCGGGCATGAATCCCGTTGGAGACTAGTCGTCGATGTGTGTGTTCAGCTGTGTGGTGTCTCGCCCACGTGGTGGTTAAGGTTCGCGGCGTCTGGTGGTTCTGATGGGGTCTATCTACCCCGCACCTGGACGTCCACGTGGGGGTCCAAGGGCTGCCTGTGCCGCCTGACTCAGGGCTGCACATATGTGGGAATGTAATCCGAGGCACACAACCTCTATATGCGGCATTTTCTTCTCGGCTTTCAACAAAAAACAAGCATTCAGTGGCCCTCTGGCGCAACGGTAGCGCATTCGACTCCAGCCATCAGTTGAAGTCATCGAAAGGTTATCCGTTCGAATCGGGTGGGGGTCATTTATTTTTCAAGTCTTTTTGATGGTGGTTGCTGATGAGTTGTGTGAGTTTTGCGGCAGCGCAACGGCGGACCTAGTCTGGGGGAAACCGAAACTTCCTGCATGTTTTTTGGGCCCTTCCTAACAGCGGGAAAGAGTCGAACGCTTGTTGTCGGTCGGGCTTTTGGACAGACGGTGGCTGGGGTGGCACCAGATTGGCTCTGTTGCGGACGGCCAATTCGCAAACTCTCACCGAGGTTTTTCTCGGTGAGGTACACGTGGCCTCTCTCTCCCTCATGTGAAAGCCGGACCTGGACAGCCCCACAGCTGCGGATTCCCTCACCGGCTGCTTGAGGTTGCTTGAAACGACAACGAGGATAAAACAGCAATGTAAGACAATCCCACAAGAACCGAGAACAATATCGTTGAACGTTATTGCACTAATATTGCCGCCTTCAGTGTTCCTTGTTCTCCCTACAACTTATAGAAAGCACTTGTATCAGGATATCGAACCGGCCTGATTGCATGAGTTGAGTTCCTGGGTTTCGACCAAGTTCAGATCTGACATATCTGCAAGGTCCGGCAACAAATTTCGTCGCTAGTACCAGGTTCTTTAGGCCAGCGAAATTCCGAGTCTTTGCGATCCAGTGGCATTAGAAAATAAATAAAGAATAAAAAAGCTGTGTTCCAACAACCTGCTCATATGACCAGTGTCCGGAAGCGAGCACTGGCGTCGGACCGCTGAAATCTTGCTTCTGCTGCGAATGATCTGATTTGGATGTGCTGGAGGATCGTCTGCTTGTTGTGGATGGGCTTGGCTGGGTTTGGCATCTCGGCTCTCTATTGCGGTGGGTGTCAGTATCTGTGTGACGATAGTTTCAGAGAGGCCAGTATCTCTGTCAGTTACCTGGATTTGAAGCTCACTAGGTGAGACGCCTGGGTAAAGCTGGAAATGTCGAGTGGGAAGCGGACCTGGGCTAACAGGCGGTAGCGCCCTCACCGTGATAGAATGTGTGAGTAACTTTCTCCGCCGGTCCAAGGCTCTGAAAGCTGTGAATGCGACATATGTAGCAATTTTTGACCTCTAAAGAGTCAAAGAATCTCTGGAAGACGGAGTAGATGCTAATTTAGTCGTCTTGTCAGGCCCAAGAAGAGAAAAGCAGCGCTACTCAGTCAATGGTAGACGAGTCCAAGGTTGTATCGTCAGACTTGCCCGCGGGACTAATCGAGGATGATTGTATGCGAAAGCAACTTGCCTCCTCCGAAACAGGCCACCACATCCGCCTTATCCGGCATGTACGACTGGGAACTTGGGTTTCCATCCGCTCTCCCGTAGATAACCTAGTGAGAGCCCTCTTGCCTAAGGCCTGCAACGAGCAGCGAGAAAAGCAGATCTTGCTTTATGTGACTGCGGTAACTGAATGGTCCTTGAGTTGGTAGTTCCATTGTAGACTGTATTACTTATGGTCCCCACAGTATAACATCCCTTGAGTAAGCTATACACTTATCACCTAGTGTGTTGAAGGTATTCTCACACACCTATTCTTGGGTTTATTGTTTTTCTGTTAGAACCAAAACAAAGGAGAAAGGTGAATAAGGGTAACAGGACACACGAGTCCCGATGATTCTCGGCTGAATAGTGGACTGCGGTCTGCTACAAACTTCAACAAGGCCCGCACGGATAGACGGGCTCCCGCTGGAGAAGAATGAGCTTTGCAGCACGGTAGAAGAGCCAACTAATTGATGGATCGACGAGTCCATTGAAGAGCAGACCCTTCCCTGGATTTTGTGTTTTCTCAAAAAGGCAAAGGCCCATGACCTGTACAAGTGACTTGCATTGTCAAAGACCCAATTGTTTTGTGATAATAAGATAGGCCGTAATTGTGCATTGGCAGCTGGGAACTCGCCCTCGCCACAGATTGTAATGAACTGCACAAGTCATAAAGTGGGCTTTACGTGGCGTACGCCACGTGGACTAAAGGCTGAAACCACTTTGGTTGCTCCCTTCGATTCTTGTTGTTCTCGCTTACAGGCTGCGTTTGGCGTTATCATGAGGTGCCTTTTGTGGTTGTTATGCTGAAACTGGCGAGCATGACGTCCCGCCGGAGACGTTGCAGGGGAATGGCATGTTGAACACGAGTTTCATCACCGAATGTTGTTGTGACGATCAGCCGAAGAGAAGTAGACATGAAAGGGGGATGGAAATAGAATAGAGTTCAGATGTGACGGGCTTGTAGGGATGTGAAACTGGGTAGGGCTATGTGACATGGCTTCTGAGGCCTATATAGAGCGTTACTGCATAAGGTAAAGATGGGGTTCTCCTGTAACAAAAGTTGTTCTTGGGGCCACGGCCTAGACTCGCCGTCACAAACATATATCCAACATCCGATGATGTGCTACGCATGAACGCAATGCAGGCATTGCAATTCACTTTATTCGTATTTTTTCTTCTTGCATATGGACAAATAATAGAGTACATATCCGACTTGCAGAGGGGGAGTGACGCAACAGCTGCCACGACATCATGGGATGTCGTGAGTCAGGTACCCCTCGGCGGCCCCACAGCCTTCTGACACAGAATTCCCGGCGTCCGGCACAGCTGGAAAGAAAGAAGAAGAAGAAGGAGAAGAAGGAGAAGAAGAAGCCAAGATCTAGGATGCCGGTGCCCGGCTAGCTGGAACGTGGGGTTCCCACCCGTCACGATGGGTAAGACGAACATGGGATGGAACTCTATCTGGCCCGACGCCCCATCGTGTTCTCTCGCCTCGCCCCAGCTGAAAGCTGACTTCGCAGGGAGAGGGGGATTATGTCTACAACGTCCGCTTGGCTGAAGGAATCTGCGACGGCTGGGCGGGAACACGGCTCGGGGGTGCCGACACATAGTAGGATACACTACCGAAAAAAGTGACGTGGGACTTGTATGTTTGAAAGGCGTCTTGAAACCTGGGAATATGCTCTTGGGGTTTACTATTATTACTCATGGACCTTGGACGACCTCGAAGACCTGGCCGCCTGGGTGCTGCCGTAAGGGCTCAATGCATCGTTACGCACCAGTATAAAAACCCTTCATCTGTCTCTCTCTCCTCCTCCATCGCGAATCCGCAAGCACACAAACACAAGCTCATCATCCACCAAAAGAAAAAGCTACTATTATTCAATCAAACCAACCAAACGGTTCAGCAACCACCAAGCATCTCCACCGCCGCCACCATGCAGCTCAAGCAATCTATCCTCATCGTCCTCGCCGGCCTGCTGTCCCTGACGGGTAAGACTCACACTAGACCCCCCATGTTGAGATATAACCGTGTTGGCTAACATGCTCCGCTCCAAAAGTGGCCTGCAAAGATGCGCAGGGCAACGACGGCGTCTGCAAGCCCCCCAACTTCTGCTGCCAGGACGACAGCACGCAGTGCGTCTTCGACGACAGCTGCAGCAGCTAATGACTCCGATAGAAGTTCGGTTTCGAGCGCCTATCTATTGGGGTTTTGATTGGGACGAGGAGCGATGTCCCATGTCTCGTTTTATTTGGTCTTTTCTCTTTTGTTCGAGCGTCTAGTTTCTCATCGCGATGAATACAAACATACCGTTCATACACCTCATCGATGCACCATGCCTTTGCGAATTCTTCTTTCTCCTGCCTTACCAAGTGCAACCCTTCCCGCCTCGGCCAAACCATGGCGTTTGTCTCTTGAGCGAACCCTAAGCCGGCATGTTCCCCTGATGTTTCTCACCCTCCTTACTGTCCCTTTGTTACGGCACCGGTCCGGCCGGACACGACTGCCTCGGCAAACAGGGTCAGAAATACAGCTTCGCAAAGGGTGTCAATATCAGACTTCGCTTGAAACTCATGTGTCTTGGCGGGCTTTGCTGCCTTGGATTTGGCCATGCTGGATGAGTTGCAAGTAAAGCCAATAAAAAAGTAGTAAGATGGATAATAGAGCGGGCGGTCAAGTAAATGCGGTGACGTAGTGTAACACACTGCTTATATGGATAGGTAGGACTGCTAAGACAACTGCAGATAACTTGGTAAGGGCTAGTCAAGGTAGTGTGACCTTTTGTATGGCTTTCTAAATGATATCGTTCTTTGTCACACATCAACCAGGAGAAAAAATGGTAGCAATGAATGTCATGGCGAATAAAAGAGTTTGAAAACTGCAGTGGGCTTCGTCGGCACTTACTTCATGACCACTTGGCTGCTTTCAATAAACAGTACACCCAATCAATACTGATTTGCATCACAGAGGCGCAACGAATACACGACGGACGTTTTATTTTCCCAACTGGTTTGATGTCAGTTCTCTGTCATTCACACATTGATCCTCCTCGAGATTCGGTGCCCACTAGATATCTCACAGGAGAGAAACACCTCTGGTTCGATTGTGAAGGTACGCAGGGAGATATATCAACCACAGCAGGCAACCGGCCGTTTGGGCTTGGCAATCACCGACCCCGCCCTCATCCTGGGAATCGTAAGCTTACGGTACATCAATACCCTGAGAAAAGCCGATAAAAACTACATAATGAGCACTCACCCCTCCTCGTTTTCACACGTGTTTTGTGACCAGTAAACTGGTTCCTGGTTTGAACGTAGCCCTATCGACCAATCTGTGTTTCTTCCGAGGTTGCCGCAAGGGCATTTTGTCGTATCGCCATTACGGCCGCTCTCAGGTCTTTGACTTTCATTCCCGTTGTCGGTGAGCCATGTCCCTGCCAAGACCTCAATATCTGTGCCCGATATCATATCTCAACGTTTGGCGGCTACTGACAACACCTCTCTTCACCAGGATGGATCATTCGTCTCGCCATTCAGGCTGCAGTTCCGGCGCTCGCCAACCTCTGCGCCAAAGGCATCGCCAAGGCCGGCAAGTCTGCCTTCAAGTTCCGTGGCAAGGACTACGACGTCAAGCTCGACAAGTCGCTCACGACGAAGAAAGACCGCGGCGACCGAGAAAAGTCGGACAAGGCGGACGAGAAAGACAGCCACTGCGACCTCAAGGACAATGGCCCCGTAAAGCGCGCCGC